ATGACCTTGGTTCTGCCAGGCAGATGCATCCAGGCGACACCCCCAGAGAGCACCATAGGGGCGAGGGGCAATACCCAGCCCGCCAGCTCTGCCGCCAGGAGCAGCTCCCCGCATCCTCCCAACAGAGTCCCTTCTGAGGCCCTTCGGACTCAGGTGGGCTCTTGCTGATACACTCAAGTGTGTGAACACAGCCCCAACCTCAGGCAAACAAGGGGCATAACTTTAATCTTTCTGTAACAATTTCTCTCTTGAGATCCATTCTACCCAACTGTCTTGGCCACGTCTTCTTTCCCAGCGCTGTGTCCAGTCAGGAGTGGCGGATGCATCTGCTACAATGCCCCTCAGCCCATCTGGTCCTCACGTACCCACCAAGGCACACGGCTGCACAAATCCCCCCCACCTTGTCTCCAGGCTTCAGTCCCAGCACTCGCCCAACTGGCAGGCGTGGGGCTGTCTGTGGCCCACCTGCAGCCGCTCCCGCCCATCCCGTTCTGAGGCATCACCCTTCAGGAGCTTCTCTCTGGGACCCGCCCCGCCCTCCGCTCCTTCCAAGGCCTCCACCCGGGGGCACAACTTTCCACTTTCAGGAGTTTCCCCCAACAGCGCATCTGGAAGTGTTTTGAAGGGTTTCTCCTTAGACTCGCTCCGTCTTGACATCTGTCTCAGAGAGGCCCATGGCACAAGGGGTTGAGGATTTTGGAAACATGGAGGCCAACCATCTGAGAGCCCCTATGGACCCCTCAACCCCTTCCCTCGTCATCCTACTGAAATGGGGGCCCAATGGGGCCAGGTACTTCTGGAACGAACGTCACAAAGAAAATGTCAGCTCACCACACCAAAAATGACCGTGAATGAAAAGGGGAGGGGATCAAATCCCACTTATGACACCACAGAAACTATAGATTACTTAGCAATAAATATAGCAAGGAAGATACAAGAGCTACACGAAGAAAATGATGAACTTGGATGGAGGGACCAAGCAAATGGTGAGATCCATGGAGGTTCTGAGTGGGAACTTCCAACAGGGAAGACCTCTTCCTTCCCCAACTTCGTCCCCAAATGAGTGAAAGTCCAGTCAAAACCCTGAGAGTGTTCTCCTGGAACTAGACAAGTGAGTTCTAAAATTCATAGGTAAGAAAAAGCTGTGAGAAGTGGCAAGAGTCTTTTAAAAACAAGAGCAGGGCTTCCCTGGTAGTGCAGTGGTTGAGAATCCACCTGCCATTGCAGGGGACACGGGTTCGATCCCTGGTCCCAGAGGATCCCACATGCCGCGGAGCAACTAAGCCCGTGCGCCACAACTACTGAGCCTGTGTGCTGCAACTACTTAAGCCCGTGCGCCTAGAGCCCGTGCTCCACAAGAAGAGACGCCACTGCAATGAGAAGCCTGCGCACCGCAGCGAGGAGTAGCCCCCGCTCACTGCAGCTAGAGAAAGCCCGCGCGCGGCAACAAAGACCCGACACAGCCAAAAATAAATAAATAAATAATTTTTAAAAAAAATTGAAAGAAGAGCAAGACGGGCTCTCACCTCATCAACTGCTGAAACTTGGCTGGAGTCAAGCAGCTGGGTGAGACCCAAAGTGGGGAGGCTGTCCCCAAGGGTAGCAGGACTGAAACACACACATGTGTAGAAATGCCTCCTGTTATCAAGGTGGTGCTTAAGTCACCAGGGAAAGATGGGTTGTTTAACAAATGGCATTGAGAAAAACTGGCCACGTGTTTGGAAGAGGTCCCTGCCTTCTGCCACATAATGAACTCCAGGTGGACTGGATAGCTGAATGTGGTGGCCAAATCTGTGACAATATTAGAAGAAAATACAGAGACTGTTTTCCTCAGATAAGGGTGGAGGACGTTCTCCTAAGACCTGAAACCCAGAAACCATAAAAGAACAATTAGATTTGGCCACATGAAACTCGAGAACATGCAAACGTACAGTGACACACCAAAAACAAAGACGCAAGGAAATATTTGCAAAGCATACACCACGGGAAAGACTGTTTCCGTAACACACAAAGGGGTCTTGCAAATCATAAGGAAAGACAAACACCACAATAGAAGGATGGGCTAAGGATGCCATTGGACAATCACAGAAGAAACACAAGTGGCTGACAAACACTTGGGACATCTAACCTCATTAATCACTTCTTACGTAGCACTCAGAGAGAGATTCTACGGGCCAGACTGGCAAAAAGTCCTAAAGCTGAATAACACCCTCTGGGAGTGATGTAGCTGGAGCTGGTGTGACTGCAACAACTTGACACGGCCTTTTTTTTTTTTTTTTTTACCAAAAGCTCAGCTGCCTTTAGATGCTGTCAACTTACCTAGAAAATGGAACTAGACTTTTCCCAAGTCGCTGGGCCTGATAGGGGCAGACGGGACAAATAGTCATTCCTAAATATTTCTAGGACCTTAAAATGACTAGCTACCTTACGGGGTGGCCGCTTCATTTAGGATTTGTCTGATTACCACCTGCCAGGGGAAAACCTGTATGTAGACGAGTAACTATACACACAAACTGCTTTTGCATAATATGGAAAATGAAATTCTTCCTCCTGTGTCTTCTTAGGTGCTCGGTTTCGACAATATTTAAGGAGTGTGATTATGTTTGACTTCGGTTTTGTGGTATAAAGCGCCGTTACAGGTACCTTCCAATATAAACCAGCTGAAAAGAAGGTGGAGCCAGAAATGAATCAGAGGATGGATACGGGAGGATGCTGAGGTGACCCAGAGAGGGGAGGTCTGAGGCTTGGTGCAGGAAGGGTGATGTGGACACCAGGTGACCTCCCGGGGTGCCTCACACACAGACACCAGAATTCCTGGGACAGCTCAGATCCATGCATCCTGCCCTTGTTCCAGAAAATCAGCCCCCACCATCCATATTCAATAGGCAGTGCTCTCTTTAGAGTCCCATGCATTACTAGGATTTTCAAAAGTGTTGCTCATGATGTGGATTTTTCTTTTTTTTTTTTTCTGGTTATAAAATAATTACTAAGTTTTTAAAGAGAGAGATTTTAAAAAATAGTAAGTGAACCCTCCCTCATAATTTTAACCCCATCATACAGATTTCATGTATACCTCACCAGACGTTTTTCTGATCTATGATTAAAATTTCTTTTATAAAACTGTCATACTACTTATAAATAGCTGTACATTGCTCTCCCCACAACACGACATCTTGAGCGCGCAAAGGACGGTGATAGATGACATTCTGTGCTTTTTGCCAGAGCACAGGACTTCCTCCACCTGTGCCCAGCTGGATGGTCAGAAGGACAGACCTCGTGGAGCTGGGCCACCCTCCCCCAGCTCCACGTCCAGAGTCCGGGCAACTGTGGCCAGCCTCAATTCTGCGAGTGAGGGACTCACGGGGGACAGTACAGCTTCAGGCAGCTTGAGGAGGCAGTGGCCCCTTCGGTCTCCCCTAAGGCTGGGTAGGGTCAGCCGAGTTTACAGTAGAGGGTTGACCTTCTTAGACCCAGGACAGGGCTATTTAAAGGAACGTGACACCGAGCCAAAAACCTGGGGACTGCAGGGCCAGCTCCCCAGTACAGAGGCCTAGATTCTCCTTCACTGGGATCCATTTCCTTTGGCAAAGCACACTTTGCAGTCACTGACAGTGAGCTACAGATATTTCTCATTATGAAACAGCATAAATATACCAATAGAGACAGCAACTGTACTAACATCTGTATGACTTTATAGAATACTGTCTGTAATACGGATATAATATCATAATAACATAATTATAACACTGTCGTCCCTTGGTATCTGCGGGGGATTGAAAAAAAAAAGCAGCAGACGCACACTGTGGATAGCACGCTTTACTGGAGTTTGGGCGGGGGGCGGGGGGGTACATCGCAGAGCAGCAGAGCAAACTTAAAACGGAGTGGGAGCCCCCCCTCCGACAAGTCCCTCGGCCATTTCCACCAGCAGGAAGTTGATACCAGTCTCTAGCGACCCCACTCTCCCCACTGGTTCGCTCGCCCAGGGCCTCCAGACCCCTCTCCATCACTCCGGAAGAGAAGCCCGGGGAGGAACGCCAAGGCCGGCTCTGAGAGGAACTGTCGCTCATTCCAGGAAGTCCAGGACCCAGGAGCGGCCTCGGGCTGGGCCACGGCCACAGAGGGAAGAAGAAATGGCCGAGAGAAGCCTGGAGCGGCCGCCGAGCGCCCCGTGGCGAGCGAGGCCACGAGACGAGCCGCGCGGCCGGCGGCTGTGGAGGCTGGGCTGGACTCAGGGCTGCAGGGACTAACTGAGGGCCCACTGCTGGAGCAGGAAGGGCCAGGAAACGCAGCAGCAGCCTCTTCCCACGGGAAGCACCCAGGCCATCTGTGCCATCCCATCCCCTGGTCAGGGGACTGGCCTTCAAGACTCTACCCACGGCGGCGCCCAGCTCAGGGCGGAGGCGGGGGCGTGCCTGCTTCTGGGTCCGGGCCCTCGAGGCCCGTGCGTGAGCCTGAAGGGGCCCTGACAGCTCTCAGGGCAGCTGATCACCACCCAGCTGGGAGAGAGCTCTGGAGACCTACACACGGGCGTGTCTGTATGTTCCTGTGCGCACGCACACGTGGACCTGTGTGGACATGCCTGCGCTGGGGCACACAGGTTCAGGGGCTGCTGTGACGCAAACGCGTCAGTGGGGGCGTGTGGGGCACCTGTGGGCACGAGCACGTGACGACGTGAGAGCGTGGTGTGGGTGAGGAGTGTGCCCTCTGCGGACGCAGGTGTGAGTCCGGGCACGGCCCCGTCCCTGGTGTGCGCACACACCGTTGCAAGGCCTCGCCCTCAGGCCCACCCTGTGACTTTGCTCATCTCAACTCTCACCGCCCCTCAGGCTGTTCCCAAACTTTACCAGGCCCAGGGTCCCCTGGCAGCTCCACACCACAGCCCCCAGGGGACGAATGCTGCCCTCCCTGCCCCCGCCCCCTGCCCTTTCTCTGCCAGGAACCCCCCCCCACACACACACACACACAAAATCCCCACCCAGGCTCAGGCCCGGGTCTCTGGACTCAGAAGTGACTTTACTTCTCTGTAAAGGACGCCCTCACAGCCAGGCTGTCGGGCAGGCCCTGGCTCAGCCTGGCTTCCCCTCCGAGGCCCGAGGTCCCAGCCCCCTGCTGGATGCCTGATTCCTGGAGATGTCCTGCTGGCTGGGACTTGGACCTGGTGGAGAGACAGGGAGGGGTGGGGGCCACAGACTGTGGAGCAGGCCAAGGCTGCCCCCAGCTTCAGCCAGGCCAGGCTGGGGAGGGGGCAGCCACAGGCTCAGGTCTGGCGGGACGAGTTCAGAAGCTCTGCGGGAGGGAGGGGACCTCAGGGCCCAGCCCAGAGGAGGGTGGGCCCCAGGCCGAGCAGGAGTCCCCCCGCCAGGGCCCAGGAGCTGCGCCCCGCCAGCGCCACTCCGTTGCACAAATCCTTCTCACAGCAGTCCACATCTACTTTCAAGATCCCAGAGTTAATGAAGCCCATCAGATAGTCTGAGAAAAAGTGCCGCTTCACGAAGTCACAGGACGAGGCACACATCTTGTTCACAGAATGATCCTTCCTGCCTGGGGAGGAGGGAGGGGAGCCTGGGACTCGAGCCCCACAGGGCCCTTTCTGCCTGGTGCCCAGGACCTGAGCCAGGGACCCTCCAGGTCAGTTCAGGACCCCGGAACAACAGAACTGAGGCTTCAATCCACCCACGCTGTCCCCAGCTACATGAAAAGGGCCACAGAAGGGCCAGAAAGGGTCAGGCACCTGCTGACTGTCACACAGCAGGGCAGTGCCCTGCCCACAGACCCGTGCTCTCGTCCGAGGCCAGAGGGACTCTGATGACACCGCTGACCCCTCCCCGCCCCAGGCTGGAGGCTGACTTACTGCTACTGGGATCTGTGATCCGGACACTGGCACACACCGTGTCTGCCGGCTGGCACTGCTTCGGGGTGCAATGACTGGAGTTGCTGGTCAGCGTGCAGTCCTGGCACCACAGGCCATGAGCTGGGCAGGGCACAGAGACGAGGATGACCAGAGGGACAGGGGTCCAAGCCAGCCAGCCCCCTGTGTCCTCCCCACCTGCCTCGCTGCATGTCCTAGGAGAACCATGCAGCTGTAGGAGGCCGGCACTCCTTGACCAGGAGTGACCAGGCCAAACTAGCACCCGGAGGACAGGCTGGGACGACCTGTGTGCCTTTGGGCAGGGTGGGGTGAGGGTGCCACCAATGGGACTCCGGAAGCCCCTATGCACCCCCTCCAGGCCCCACACACATGCACAGTGCGTGCACACATAGCCACAAGTATCACACCTATGGTGCCCTCCTGCACACTCCTACCCCCCTCACACACATCCCCCCAGAATCTAGTTGGTTCCGGTGGAGGAAGAACCAAACAGGACTTAATGGGAGGCCAGGTGGGGCTCAGAAGAGATGGAGCACAAGCAACCCGGCACTAAGCCAGGAGCAGCCGTGCAGGACCAGCCGCTGGACCAGGGCCCGGGAGGAAAAGGACCCATGCTCTCAGGAGCCAGGAGAGACCCGCGCGGCTGGAGCTGGGGCAGTGCCAGCAAGGGCCACACAGGCGAGCGCTGGGCTGGGGTCGCTGGGTTCGGGAGGGGGTGTGGGTCTGATGGGCATCGTCAGAGAATGGCCGCCCCACACCTGGTTCTCTCCGGAGCTGCCTCGTACAGGCTCTCAGGCGACCTGGCCTACCCCCGCCAGCCGCCCCCAGACTCACCGGGGCCGGAGCACAGCAGAGCGGCCAGCAGCACCAGGCCGAGGCCCTTCATGGCAGCAGGCAACATGCTCCAGGCGGACCTCAGGAAGGCGCGGGGGCTGCAGGCTGGGGTCGTCTGGGGCACAGGCCTGGCAGGGAGAAGCCTCGATCAGGAGACCAAGTCCCGGCCCAGCTCGAAGGACCCTCCCCTTTTCTGGCATCCTAACGCAACCTCCTCCCCGGAATCCAGGGCCGAGGGTCGTCCGGGAGCTCCCAAAGCCCCACCCCCAGCCCATCCCCCAGATCATCCACCATCACTGCATTCCCCCCCGGGGAAAATAGGTCTGCCCTCTCCGGCAGGGTGACAGCTCGAAAGGCCCGCACCCCACGCTCCGCACCTGTGGGTAGGAGGGTGGGTCGGGAGGCGCGTCTTATCCCTGGGGAGCGATAGGTGCGTCCGGAGAGGAAAGGGCAGGACAAGATGCGAGTGGACAGTACCTGCCAACGGGGGGAAGGGCGAGCGCCTCGCCCCCACCCCACCCCGGGCGGAGGGGCCGGGAACCCGGCGCCGAGCCTCCTCCCCTCGTCTCCCCGTGCGAGCCTCAGCTCTCACCGCGGATCTAAGCGTGGAGCGCGGGCCTCAGGTCGGGGGCGCACTCACATCCCTGGCGTGTCGCGACTCCGGGGCTCCGGGCAGCGCGGGCGGCGCGGGGAGAGGTGCCCTTCGGTCTCCCTGTGGACGGGAAGCCGGGTGCAGCCTTGTCTTTCGGGGAACGCAGCCGCAGACACGGACCCCGTGCGAGGGGCGGGGCGGAGCCGGGGCGGGGGCCGCGCGGCGGGGCGGGGGAGGCTGGAGACTCAAGGACTGGGGCGTCTGGGGCTCAGGGCCAGCTCCGGGTCACCGTCCCGGGCCGTCCTGGGCCCCCCCGGCCAGCCGGCGCCCCGCTCGCCAGCGCGCGCCCGCCCTCTCCGGCTCGGGCTCCCGCCGCCCGTTCCCGGGCACTCCCTCCACCTCTACCTCCCCTCCCCAGGCGTGGGCAGGATCCCTTCCCCCTCTGCTTGGCTGAGATCCCCTCGGAATTTCTCGGAAGAGGAACGTTTACTGCGAAAGAGGAGGACAGGGCACAAAGACGCAGAGAGGGAGGGAGGGAGTAACGGCTGGCAGGTGCTAGCACCGGGCCCTGCTCACAGCCCTTGGGCCCTCCGCTCCCCAGCCCCATCACGGTCTCGACTGTTCGAGGCTATTCTCCCCGGAGCACCCGCGACGACCCCACCAGCAGCATCAACCCCAGGGACCCGACCCCACCAGCAGCATCAACCCCAGGGACCGCGGCCTTCAGCCACGCCCACACTCAAGAGGGCGAGTCCCAAATCCTGGTCTGGGCATTCAAGGTCCTCCGCTGCCTGCTCTGGCCAGTTTCTCAGCTTTGTCTTTCGTCTTCCGGTCCCACCAGGCGTTAGTCGTGCTGTCGTTTTGCATCTGCTGTCCCCTGTGCCTGGAATCGGTCTCTGCTGGGCACTGGTCTCTGCTGGGTGCTGAGTAAACGAAAGCAAGTGCTGGGGTCCTTCCTTCAGTCCTGCCCTCATTCGTCCAACAAATATTTATGCAGACAGCCCGGGACCACACTGGTGTGT